CCTTTTTTGATAATCCAAACAATTCTGCATATATAGCTTTATCAGATTTAGTTGTTGATTCAGAATTCCATAGTATAAATCGAATAACAAATAAATGTTTAAATGTAAAATTGCTCATAGATTGATCCTCTTTTGGTTTAAATGCACCACAAACTGCAATAGTTGGTATTTGTTGGAAAAGTATTTCTTTATTTGTATTAGGCTTCAAATACCAGCGAGATGGAATTAATGTGATATGAAAAGTAGCCAAGTGTGAATAAGTTGCAACTCAAAAAAAATAATGACATATTAGACCTTTATTTAAGAGGAGAAGACAGGTACACAGGTGTGTACCATTATTTAATAATATGACATAATGTCCAATGCCTGTTGTTCCAGTGGCACAGACGTTCTATACTTCTAAAATTGCCTGAATAATGTTCCCAATTAATGATTTAAAAAGAACTTGTCGAATATCTTGTTCTTGTTCTCGAGGCCCTGAGATAATTTCATCTTCATTATCAGCCTATAAACAATGTGAATTATTTATACTAAACTATTAATATTGTAATAATAAAACTCTATTACATGTTGAAAACCAATTTACAAGTTACTAATAAACTTTAGAGTTTCTTACTAATTCAATATAAAAAGTGTCATAGGACCTTAAAAAAACATAGTAATTACCTATAATGAACTTTTTTTTTTCCGAAACTATTAGTTCATTATAGAAAGAACTGATTATATTCAGATTAACAAATTAAAAAAAAACTTACAGCTATTAACTGATTCCACTCTATAATATAATTAATGTCATAACATACTGACTGATTCATCTGTTGACGTTGCTTTCCCAGTATGATAGGTGTTAAGAATTGTTTGATAATATTATCAACTTCTTTAAAAAATCTGTTATTCAATGATGATAGTCCAACTCTTGGTAATACATTATGTTCAATTTCAAATTTTTCAAACTGTTCTTCATTTTTAACACAACTATCAATAGTTGCAAGCAAATCACATAAAGAAGTAGCCCAATTAACCTTATCATGAATCAACTTATTAATCGACTCTATCCTTTGCATACTTTTAATACTAGCTGTAAATTAATTTCGCACCCACGGCAAACCCCAAGATCCTTTATTAGTGTAAAGTGTTTCTAATATATATTTGGGTATTCAGAAATCAATTAAGTTCACCGAGCTTCAAATAACTTGTTACATAAAGAATTACAATAAGCATAAAATTTTTGTCGAAATTCTTCAAAGCAGGATCCTAATTTACTTTTAAGTTTCTTACGAAGGTTCATATCAATATGAAAAATGCATAATAAATAACTTGTATTAGGATAAATTTCATTAATCACACTGATGATGGCTGGGTCAGAATCAGTAAATATAACTCCAGGATTAATATTTGTTTTGTCAAAAATTGTTGTAAAAATCCATCGAAAGAAATCAAGGGTTTCGTCGTCTATAATAGCTGATGCAATAATTCGTGACTTGAAATGATTGTCAATAACAATAATTATACAAAGCATCATATAAAAGTAATTGGTATTTAATGTTGTGTCTAAAATTACAATATCATGAAAATTTTTATACAAGTTACGTTGTGACAGTGACATCCACAATAACCTACTTAGCCTTTTGGATAAAGGTTCTAAGTGTGGTTTAACTACTCACAAAGGATCTGATTCTTTAAAATTTAATAATGTTTGAAGCATCTGAGATGCGTCCAAATCACCTGGAGTATTTGTAAGCCAAAACTTATATACAGCATTATATAGATCCTTTTTATAAATATGATGGTTGGAATAATCATGCTTGAGTAAGGGATAAATAGTTCTGGAATCCATTCAATCTTGTATAGCATACTTTTCAATATCAGATAATATTTCTGACGTTAATTTCCTAAATTGTGATACTGTTTCATAGTTTGTTGAATTAAGTTCATGGTTATGAATGTCAACATATGAGTTAATCTTAATAATATTAGTCATTCTGGGACAAGTAACATTTAACTTCCAAGGGCATTATAACCATATTGAGGTTATATTTCATTGCTTAGTTGGGTCACAAGTCACTTGTGAATTGTGCACACCAGATCTTGAACATTTGTAAGTAACCCTACATATGATTTTACCATCTGTCTGGCTCATCCGGACCTTGTAATTGAATCTTTTTTGTTTAGCAAATTTGTTGAGCCAGGTCTTAAATTCTGACCAATTAAAGAAAGAAAACCCAATTTCTAACTTTAACATTTCATCCTCAGGTTCACCATCTAACTCTAAAACATTATTTTGATACTCAATTTCGTTCAAATCTGTATTAACAAATTCGACATCGTTGGAAAGGTGTAGATTACCACTAAAATCATTCTTAAAATAACTGTAAAAAAGGTTTAACAATAAAATAAAGCTAAGAGAACTAAAACCCACTTACTTGAGAGATAGAAAAACTGTTATTTGTATTTAAGCCAAGTAAACCTTGGTTATTGTCAAATATTAACAGATCTGAGGTTTCTTGCAACACATCAGGACAATCAGTCTAGAAAGAAAGCCATTAATAAAAAAAGCTTCACTAATTAAAGTTAGTTTAGTTAAAATATATAAAGGCTGCTTACTTGTGACAAGAAATTGTTATTTATATTCAGACAAAGTGGGCCTCGGTTCTTATTAAATATTACTAAATCTGAAGTTTCATGCCACATGCAGTTAGGAAGGCATCGATAACTAGTCTTTTAAGTGTAGTAAAAGAAAAAATCATCATTGAAGAAAAGGTTTATTAAACAATGTTAATTTGACTAAAATACATAAAGGCCACTTACTTGCAACATTGAATTATTATTTGCATATATGTCAGTATTTGACCCTAACTGATCTGATAGGCTTGATATTTCTTGCAGCATTCTTCTAATTAGATGTGAAGCTATGTTAAATAAAAAAAAGATTGATAACACAAAGCAAGGTTAAATAAGCTTTTTAATTCTCTTTTCAGGTAAGCTCTATACTAAAGCAAAAGCCAAAAAAACAATTCAACTATGATGCAGTGACGATTTTCAAACCGATTTGATTTGTTATTTTTGCTTTTTTACTAATCGACCTTTTTTTTAAAAAAAATCCTAGGGAATAATGAAGCATGATGAAAAATAAAAAGTTTAGTGGCACTTTGGTTACTATACTATCTATTGTGAAAGAAAAAACTAGTTTATTGTTTTGATTGTTAGCTTTATTTATTTGATCATTTGCATGAATTTTAAACCTCGCAAAATTGCAATTCATGCATAGTATACATATCGATATACTGCGATTTACAAATTTACATATTGTTACACTATTATGTAAAATACATGTATATACACACGTGTAAATTTAGAAATTTTCTTTATTATATAATAAACATCAAAATATTTTGAAAAGTTTTAAAATATTGTGAAATATTTTGAAAAGTTTTAAAATATTGTGAAATATTTTAAAATGATTTGCAATATATTAAAAATATTCACAAATATTTAAAATAATTTGAATTTATTTAAATTTATTCATATATAGTCGCAAATATTCATATTATATTATAATATGGTATTTTTGAACTTCTTTTCAATATCAGATAATATTTCTGACGTTAATTTCCTAAATCACAGTGCTGTTTCATAGTTGGTTGAATTAAGTT